GGGGGGGGGAGTACCTACCTGTGGGCGTGCTGATCCTGCGAGGAATCGTGTGTTGCCTGTTTGCACCAGCAGCCGCTCCTTCTCCGACATGTCGGTGATCCGCATCTTCATGCTCGGGTCCCACAGGAACTTGGCTGTGTTGAGCTGCAGATATCGCGCGCACACACACACACACACACAGAGAGAGAGAGAGAGATGGATAGAGAGAATGATCACGGTGACTCACCTCGATCAGGGCGATGGCAATCAGGATCTGCATCAGACCGGCGGGCGGCATCTGCACACACACAAACGTACCACACACGGACCAATCCGTCCACACAGACAGCATCAGACAGACACCACGCCATGCACCACCACCCCACCTACCGCAAAGAGTGCCTTGAATGGGTTCATCTCGCTGAAGGCCGGCACGAACTCCAGCCCATCAAAGCCCGCGGGCTTCTGCACCAGCTCGGGCGCCAACAGACCCACAGCCGCCAACATGCACAGCCGACCGTGCTTCAGCTCGGCATTACGGAGGAAGCCAACATCAGCTATCTTGCTCAAGCCCAGCGGGTCAAACCCTGCACGCACACACACACACACACACACACAGAACGCACCTCGTTGTGTTGCTCTCTGTGTGCGTGGCTGAGTGAGTGGGTCACTGACCGAAATCTCCGACGAGTGTCCCGTCGCCGATCTGTGGCTTAGCCACCCAGGGGAGGGCGAGAGATACGTCGGACGGCACACGGATCTGCGGCACATCCAGCCTCTCCCACACCTTCTGACCCTCACCGCCAGGACTCGGCTGCCGAGTGTAGTCGGCTGAATCAAATCAATCCCACAGCAGCACAACACAACAAAACGCGCCCGGCCATATGTTCATTCCAACTGTGTACGCAGTTGTCGATATTGGATCGATGGCTTACGGAAGTCGACTCCTCTGACCTTGGCCTTTTGTTGCTGCTGCTTGCCCCTGGCCCTGGCAACCATCTCGAGGTTGAATGCATGGCTGACCGAGAGGGACAGACCCACCAGCACGACTGACAGAAGTGACGCCATGGATGTCAGACAGGAGCGGGGAAGCTGATGGGAAGAAGGAGATGGGTGGAATGCCTGCCACAGGAGAGGGGGGAAGGAGGCGAGCTCCGCAGAAACTTCCTCAAAACCCTATGACCCTATCTGTAAACTCTCGAGCAGAAATATTTGCCTGTAGGTCAATGCGCCCTGACTGACAAAAGTCGACCCGTGTCTATCACTCAAGACATCCATCCATCCATCCAATCAATCAATCAATCAATCAACTCCCCCCTGTTGATGCACTGCATCTCGCTCTGGCCGCCCCTTCCGGCTCATGAGCATTATTCATTTTCTGCAGCACCATGAGGCAGGCCGCCGCGACAATCAGCGCCGCACCACACACACTCCACCCATCCAACGGGCGGCCCAACACGCACACCTGCACGCACACACGTTGAGTCGAGGGAGAGAGAAAGTGAGAGACCGACAGGAACCATTGATTCACTACACTAACACACATTGAACCCACTTGTAGGATATAGGCGAGGGCCACATCCAAGTTGCTCACGAACGCTGCCACTCACACAACAACACTCACACGCATCCCATCCAGCCACCAGACGTCTCTCTCCTGCCCACTGACCTCCTGGCCCGGCCTTCTCGATTTGCAGCCCGCGATTGAGACACCAGTGCGCGGCGAATCCCAAGACGCCGACAGCGGCCAGCCACCCCAGCAGCGAGAGGTCTGTGTTGCTGCTGTGACGGGGAGAAGGTCGGAGTGTGGCGACGAGCACAATGCTGGTCAGTGTCGTCGACACACTGAGGTACAAGACCAGCACCAACGCAGGCACACGTGTGCCGATCCGACGCACCAGTGTGTACGCGGTCGCACCTACACACACACACACACACACACACACACACACACAGAGGCGTTGATTGACGAGTCCAGTCCGCTGTATGCCATGGGATGGGTGTGCCCACCTGCCAGTGCGCCAGTGAGTGCCAGCAGGACGGCAACCACACGGGAAGTGACCACAGGGGTGGCCGAAGGGACGATGCTGTCGTGTGGGTGGATGCCATCGTGGTGGAAGAGGACATCTGGCTGAGCGATGAACACGACGCCAGCGAGAGAGCACAGAGCCGCCAAAGTGCACACGGCCGTCCACGGCTCACCCAGGACACACGAGGCAAGCTGATTGATTGATGACATCCACCCACAGCAGCACAAGCATCAGAGTATCAAGTTCGTTCGAGTGCATACCCTGCCTGTGTGCTTAGCTTACCACAGCGGTGAAAATGGGTGTGGTGAAGAAGGCAGCTGATGCATCCCCGAGGGGCAGCTGCGATATGCAGAAGAAGAACAAGCCGATAGCACACGACCCGCACAACGCCCTGAGTGAGGACATCAGCAAACGCACCAGATAGATCTACGTAAGCGCACACGACACACAGCAGCTCAGCTCAGCCAGCGCCACAAACACCGGCTGACCTGACTGACCTGGCCACAAGTAGGTGTCTGATCTCTGGCAGTCCAAATGGCGATATCCACCTCCTCTCCACCACCATTTGCACCGCCAGACACGCGCTCCCACACACCAGCTCCGTCAGGCCCCTCGCCAGCAGCACATAGAACACGCTCGTCTTAGCAGCCGTCACCTTGACCAGCGTAGACGAGAGGGAGAACAACACCGCCGACACGCCGCAGAGCACCAGACCCGCCGCTCGCCTGCACAGACCGCCCTCTTCGCGTTTCCCTTCCGGCAGTGGGTCGTCATCTGACAGATGGTTGAGGGACGACAGCTCGGTCGTCAGCTTCGAGTAGGCGGCCTCGTGGGTGAATGCGATGAGTCGATGGCTGGGTACATCATGATGCCCGGCGGCAGAGTGTCCAACGTTTTCCTCTGAGCCGAGTGAGGCGTCTTTTGTGCTCGCTGCTGAAGCCCCGTAGACGGTGGGATGTACCGCAGCGCCGCTCACCATCCCAGGGGCCAGTTCGGGTGCGCTGCGGCGCAGAGTGCCGGTTTTTCCTCAGATCTTCATCGAGGCCATACTCATGGTGCTGAAGTGTGCAGTAAGGATGCTGGAAGAAGGCCTGACGAAGCCGTCTTTTCTTCCACGCGATCACACCTGCGAGCTTGGCTCGCAGATCTCCAGGCTCGCTGCAGTTCTCATCGCTGAACGACGTCGATGTGTGGATGAGTGGCTTTCCATCGAGATGGTCCAGATGGCAGCATGGGGACTGGCGCTCTTCATCTCTCACGCCCACGGCTTCCATCAACCATCGCCCATCTCACGACCACGTCCGTCACGGCTCCATCACATCAGGCGGAAACACGTCAGCCTAAATGGATGAATGGAATGAGTTCACTGGGATGGATGGATGGATGGATGGATTTGTGCCTGCAGGTGCGCTCAGCTGTGGAGTCTGCTGGGCAGGCTGCTCAGCAGCAGCAATTGCAATTGCAAGATCTGCAACGGCTGATGGAAGAGCTGCATGCTGACGGCACCACCGACAGGCAGTGGACCATCGATGACCTGCTGAATGCAGACGTGAGTGACCTCTCCCCGTCTGCACAGCAGATCCGTGACTCAAGGTGCGTGCGGGCTCCTGTAGGATCCCCATCCATCCATCCGTCCATCCTCCCGTGTGTGTGTGTGTGTGTGTGTGTGTGTCAGGTTTAGTGGTTGTGTCGAGAGTTCTGATGGGGAGAGGCAGACCGTCCAGCACACGCCCACCATCACCTACTCTCGCAAGGTGTTCATTCCGCTGACGCACCTCTGTCGCGATCGGTGCCACTACTGCACATTCGCGCAGCCTCCCAAGGATGGTGAGAGGTGAGTGGAGTGGAAGGAGTCAGCCGGGGATGGCAACACACCAAACAAACGGATGGATGCCGGAAGGAACCGTGGTGTCTGTCGTCCGCTTGCTTGTCGTGTCGTGTGTAGGTGCTACATGACGCGTGACGAGGTACTGGATGTGGTGCGGGAGGGGGAGAGGCTGGGGTGCACTGAAGCGCTCTTCACACTTGGTCAGCCACAGAAGAGAGGAAGAGTACCTGTGGTCAGGTGCCCATCTGTCCATTGTGTGTGTGTGTGTGTAGGCGATCGTCCCGAGACGAGGTGGCCGCAGGCGATGGAGGAGCTGCGCAGCATGGGATACACGTCGACGATTGAGTACCTCAGGTCGGTGGCGCCAAGACATCAGCACACTCTCTCTGGGATGGATCTTGGTGTGTGTGGATGGATGGATGGATGTGTTCCTCCCTAGGGATTGCATGGCCATGGTGCTCACAGAGACCTCGCTCATCCCCCACGCAAACCCTGGAGTGATCTCAGATGACGAGATGCTCGTCCTCCGTGACGTCAGTGCATCACAGGTGGGGTGGGTGACCAAACACACACACACCCCACCCACCCACCCACCCCAGCCATCCACGTTTCTGTGTTTGTGCAGGGCCTCATGTTGGAGTCAATATCAGACCGGCTGTGGGTGGAGAAGGGCCAGCCGCACTATGGCTCCCCCGACAAGCGGCCGGCAAGGCGACTGGAGACCATCGAGAGGGCCGGGAGGCATCGCGTGCCGTACACGACTGGTCTTCTGGTGGGGTTTGGCGAGACGAGGCTGGAGAGGCTGCTGTCCTTGGCGGCGATTCGCGAGCTGCACCAGCGATATGGACACATACAGGAGGTCATCGTACAGGTGAGTCGATATCAATATTGCCGGCACATGGAGCCACGCACCGTGTGTTTGTCTGTCTGTGCAGCCCTTCCGGGCCAAGGAGGGGACGGTGATGTCCTCAGCCCCCGACTGCCCCCTTTCAGAGCTCCTCTGGACCACAGCCATCGCACGCATCATCATGCCGCCCTCCATCTCCATCCAGTCCCCACCCAACCTCTCACACCCACAAGACCTGCCGATGGTCCTGCGGTCCGGCATCGACGACTGGGGTGGGGTGTCGCCGCTCACAGCCGACTATGTCAACCCCGAGCGCCCCTGGCCGTCCATCGATCGGCTAAGGGAGGTGACGGAGCAGAACGGCTTCGCCCTTGTGGCCCGGCTGCCGTCTTACCCCATGTATGTCAGCGACGGTGTGTTGTTGGGGGAGTGGCACAGCGGGAGGGTCGCGAGGTCACTCCTGCGAGCAATGGATGGCACTGGGCACTCCAGGTGAGCATTGATGGACACTGACAACACGCCACCAGCGACCACACACCTCCCCCCCTGACTCATTTGCGTGTCCCAAGGACGGAGGAGCCATGGTTTGCCGGCGATTCCGCCTCGTCCGTGCCCACAGATGGCCCAGACGCACCCTACCTACCCGGCGGCCGTCACCATCCACGATACGCGGACGCCCTCAGGCCTTTCGAGCAGCCGGTGCGGCAGCTCGTGAGCGGCCGAGACGATGGCGTGAGTGGGACCGAGCTGTCACTGTGGAGGGAGCAGATGCGCAATGTGCTGAGGAGGGAGGGGGTGTCCGACTGGGTGGCGGAGCTGCTGACACGCGCTCTATTGTCGCCAGGTAGACATGTGGATGAATGAATGAATGTACGAGCTTCCTTTCAGCAGGTGTGTGTGGTGGATTGTATATCAGAGATGGCGCGGGGTGAGAGTGGTCTGAGTGAGGGTGAGGCGACGTCGCTGCTCGAAGCACGAGGAAAAGATCTTGCAGCCATTGCCGCGGCGGCCGATTTACTGAGGTCGGTGAACAGAATACACCGAAGACATCAACGTGCATTGGTGTGTGTGTGGTCTTCCCTCGATGGTCAGGCGAGTGGTGGCTGGCCACGGCGTGTCCTATGCCGTTGTGCGCAATATCAACTACACCAACGTCTGCTACTTCAGATGCCAGTTCTGCGCATTCAGCAAAGGTCAGCCAGCCAGCCAGCCAGCCAGCCAGCCACCACACACCACACACCACACACCACACAGACGACACCCCTGCCCACAACCCTCCATCCATCCATCCATCAGGCAAGCTCAGCGAGGCCCTGAGAGGACAGCCATACAACCTACCTCACGAGGAGATCCAGCGGAGAGTGAGGGAGGCGTGGGAGCGTGGGGCGACCGAGGTGTGTCTGCAGGGCGGCATACACCCCGACTACACCGGCCAGACCTACCTCGACATACTGCGGGCCGTCAAGGAGGCCGCCCCCCACACACACGTCCACGCATTCAGCCCTCTAGAGGTACCTGGGTGGGTGGCTATGTCAGCATACAGTACATGGATGGATTGACACACAACACAACACGCGGCATTGTCTGTCGTCTCCGCATTGGCTGGCAGGTGCAGCAGGGCGCATCAACTCTCGGCATATCAGTGAGGGATTTCCTGACTCAGCTGAAGGAGGCCGGACTTGGGTCGCTCCCAGGCACTGCTGCAGAGATACTCGACGACGGTGTCCGTGCAGTGCTGTGTCCCGACAAGCTGTCGACCGAGCAGTGGGTGGATGTGGTGAGGGCGGCTCATGAAGTGGGCCTCAAGACCACCAGCACCATCATGTTTGGATCGATGGAGGGCGCACAGATGCAGGCCAGACACCTGCTGCGGATTCGCGACCTACAGGCAAGCAGGACCGACGCAGCGAACACACTGCAGGCATCCGCCCGAGCGTGTGTGTGTGTATGCTTCAGAGGGAGACGGGCGGCATTACAGAGTTCGTGCCTTTGCCCTTTGTGCACCAAGAAGCCCCCATCTATCTCAAGGGCCGCGCACGCAGAGGCCCCACTTTCAGAGAGGTGGTGGCCCTTCACGCCGTGGCCCGCCTGGCCCTGCACCCCTACGTGACCAACATCCAGACGTCATGGGTCAAGAACGGCCCACTGGGTGCGTGGGTGGTGCTGCAGAGCGGCGCCAACGACCTGGGGGGCACTCTGATGAACGAGAGCATATCACGGGCAGCCGGGGCCACGCATGGACAGGTGAGTGAGTGGTCAAGGGACACGTGAGTGGGTGGATGGATGGATGGATGCAGGAGTTTGGTCCCCGTGAGATGGAGCAGTTGGTTGCATCTCTTCCCCTCGACGCCCCTCAGCAGCGGCGGACACCATGGCAGCGCACCACCCTCTACACGCCAGCATCGCAGGTCAGGCAGGACAGGAAGCACACTGACGTATGTATGCACCATGGACCGACCATCGTGTCTGTGTATACATGTGTGTGTGCGCGCCAGGAGCGAGCACTGCGTGCCCTTGATGCGGCCCCATTGGCGCCTGTGGAGAATGCGCCGGCCAAGAAATACGAGCGCACGGCGGCGTAGATTGTGTATGGTGTGTTTGCGGCAGTTCGTCTCATGTGTATGTGGGTGATGTGTATCTAGCTGGATGGATGGATGGAAGCCGTGTGGCGTTTACGTGTATGCTGTCTGTATCTATAGGGACAATTTAAGTGAGTAGGGGGGTGGGACGGACTGTTACGGGGTCATGCAATCATTCAAACCAGTGCTGTCTGTATACATGCGCTGGATGTCTGCACACGTCTGTGCACGAGCCTTGTGTGGTGTTGGCGGCCGCGTCACGACAGGCTACTCCTCTCAGTGCCGAGACTCCTGAGAGGAATGGCCTGTCAGATCGGCCTGCAACACCACGCAAGGCATATGAGAATCGCCCAATACACTCGCTGCCTATTCTTTCTTCTCTCCGTCAACAGTCAGTCATCCGATCACTGCAGCCGATGCTGTACACGCACTGCATGTCTGTCTGTCTGTCTGTCTGTACACGAGATATGAGATATCTCCTCGCACTCCATCCACGTTCCTACCATGCCCTTAAGGACCACCACGACACGATGCTCCAGCCAACGCTGAGGCCATTGGCAGGAACAGAATGTCGTGGCCAACCCCAACGCCACATTGCAAGGCGCATGGGAGGAAAGGCGACACACTCGTTCGATTCGTATGTCATTCTTCACCACTACACTCGGTATGCATTGCATCATTCTCTCTGCCCACTGCCCCGACCCCCAAGTGTCATGACGCCAGGCAGGAATGCGTTTCTGTCATAGTCTTCCAGCAGCTTGTCGTCCTCGTAGTCGACGAGACCCTGTAGCAGGGTGGCCAGTTGGAAGGTGAAGAACCCTTCCAGCAGTGGGAAGATGGGCAGCAGGTCCGGTTGCCGACTCCACACATACATCATCACACCGGGCACTAACAGCCTGCATGACACAACAAAACAAACAACGTCCACATATATTGGGAAAGGAGATGAGAGCATTCTTGGGTGGGTGGGTGGGTGGGTGGGTGGGTGGATTGCTCGCTCGTTTACCGACCGTATGGGTGTGTTGAAGAGGCGCTGCTTTTCGGCGCCGAGGGCCTCCACATACCGACCCAGCACCTGCACATACGCCAGACCTGCGCACACACATCCAACACACAGACAGACAGACAGACAGACAGACAGACATGAGCCGACGTGCTCTTTGGGCGCGGCGCATGTCATTCACGCACCGAATATGCCTCCAAACGCATAGCTGAGAGAGGGCTGGACTCCGACCAGGCCCCACTGGAGTGAGAAACCAACCACCAAGAGGAGCAGGAGGTCGCTGAGCAGCCGCGCCTTGCGCGCACTGTACACCAGCTGCTGGCGCGTCTGCTGCTCCTCTTTCTCTCTCTGCCGCCTCGCCTCGTCCGCCTGGCGCCTGGCGACCATCTCTTGCCTTTGTTGTGCATCTTGTGTCGGCCTCTCCGGGGCATCGATGGGTATACAGCTGGCAGTCTTGAGATCGTACGCCGCCTTGTTCTTCAGAACAGATGGCGACTGAGAGATAGAGACAGACAGGGTCCATGTCAGTCATGAGTGCACGCGAATGTGTTGGCTTGGCCAACTCCCACGTACCATGGTGAGTATGGCCTCTTCGCGCTTCTCCTGTCTTATTCTCTCGAGCTTGTCGGGTGCCAGTAAATAGAGAGGCCTCCCAAGCTCTTCACGCTGCAGATCCTCGGCACTCTTCCAGATGGGCTGACTGCCAGGCGCGCCGTACTCAGAGAAGCCGCCTCGCTCGTCGATGCCGTCAGCATCAGCAGCATCAGGGCCACCATTGTGTGTTGCATCACCGTGCAGGGCGTGCAGTGGCCTGTGTGTGCTGACGAGAGGCCGCCGGCGTGTGAGGGATCTAAATGGCCGGCGGGGCGGCACGAGCAGCGGCGGCGCATGAAAGGCCGTCAAGGGAAGGGTCGTGGGCAGCGAACCGATGGCAAATGAGCCCGTCATTTCACGTTTCGGCCTTTCATCAAGGCTTAGCTCGCAGATGTGTGCGAGCTCAAAGATCTCACCCACGAATGCGCTCAAACACCGGGTTTCTGGATGCCGTCACCTTGCTGGCAGTGAAGCAGAGAGGATCAAGCTGCTGCAGCCCGAAGAGGGCCATGAAGAGATGATTCGCGGTCAGGTGTTTGAAGAGGGTGGCAGCGCTATTGGTTTCGGCCTTCTTGCTGGGCCGGATATCCTGCTCACGGCGGCACACGTGGCGCCGACCGCTGCCACGGTCAAGCTCGGTCAAGAGAAAGTCCGCGTCGATGGGTGCTATGTGATGCCCGAGTACATCCGCCACGGCCACCCCGACGTCGCCCTTCTCACTCTGACGACGCGAGTGGCATCCTTCGCCGGCCCGATCCCCATCGCGACTCACCTCCGACCTCGCCACCTCCTCATGTGTGACACCACTCTTCACAACCGCTACTTCGGAGGGAGCGTCGTCAAGGTGCATACGGTGACAATCGGCGGCACGACGACAGAGGGCGGCACGACGATGCCCGTGTGGCTGCAAGTGCAAGGGACTAGCCCCCAAGAGGGTGACTCGGGCAGCGACCTGGCGCTTCCGTGCGGCAAAACGGCAGCGGTCGTTCACGGACTGTCGCCACACCGTGGGCAGGGTCGCCACGCCAGTCGACCGCGCAGGGAGCATCCCTACCCGTTCTTATACGCCTGCCCGCTCGACTGCTTGAGGCAGCCAGCGTTGTTTCATCGGATCCCCAAGGATCACCTGCCTCTTCTCAGCGCACTCGAGACCCTTCCGCCCACCTTCTTCGAGAGCCGCTGCGAGAAGATGAGCATCGAACGGTGGCTGCAGATGGTGAAATACGTGCCTCCCGCGGACATAGATGTACGGCTTACTCGTACACTGCCTGAACAAGTGTGGGATTGTTCATCACAATATGACGATTTTGTTGGTGCAGACGAGTAAATTGCTCTCGGCCCCAACAACCATGCGGATAAGCACACCACCTCGGCGGACCAGGCGTAGCGAGAATGCGAGGGGCAGCTCTGAAACCGGTGATGAACAGGGCAACAAGCCAGAGGTGCGAAAAGAAATATCAAACGGATACGAATGCAATCCTGGGTAGACATGTGTGTGTGTGTGTGTGTGTGTGATGCAAAGACTGGTGGTGGTGGCTGGCTCTGCGGGTTCGGAGCTGCGTTGAGGAGCAGTGAGCCCGATTTGCGGACTGCCGTGACGGACGCTTTTAGCGAGATGAACGACCGATTTGGCATGCTGGTCACCGAGGTCAACGACCGATTTGGCATGCTGGCCACCGAGATCAACGACCGATTCGACAAGCAGTATGAGCTGTTCGCTGGCTTCCCGGATCCCGAGCGCCCGCCATCAGTACTGCACTGGGAGCCATTCAAGACCGAAGCAAAGAAGATGCTCCATGTGGCGGACGCGGCGTTTGACAACTTACGCCTTGGCGCCCTCTTGGATCGTGTTGCAGCCGTCGTCCAAGAGGGGCAGGCTTTGACACAGGAACAGGTATTTATGCAGAATACAAGTCAGGCGCGGACATGCACTCGCACTTAGACAGGCCAACGGTGAAGGCGGTGTGGTCGCTGGATGCGTGCCTTTTTGCAGCTGTCTGCGTTGAACCTCACTGAGGCTCCTTCTTCTTCCCTGGGGTGTATAGCATAGGTGCGGCACACGGAGATTGAGCGGTGGCCTTTCTACCAACATCTCTCTCTCTCTCTCTCTCTGTGTGTCTGTCTGTCTGTCTGTGTGTCTGTGTGTTTGGGTACTTTGATGCTCTGTGTGTGTGTCTGGGTACTTCGATGTACCTAGATGATTCGACAGTCTGTCTGGGTGTATGCGCCCTTTCGTTCTTCTCAGTGATGGAACATCCATTCTCGGTCCTGCCTGTGTCCAAAGGCGAGCCAGAATTGAGACAAGTCAGACGGCAACATGAGGGTGCATTTAATTGTGGATATCGATGTGTGTTGGTCTGGCGAACGCTATGTGTGCCATCGCATTGTACTGACAGACGTGTGTGATTGTGAAGTTTGCACGTGCGTATCGATGCACAAAGTAAATGAATACACACACCACACCCACAAGCACACACACACACCAATTGACAGACACGTGTCGAGCACTGAGGCCGATCATTGAGTGCACTCATTGTTTTATTAAACAGACGTGTGTATGGAGGCGCATACAAGACATGTACATCCACACGCACACGGACCGGACGGACGCCGTGTGTGACCGACCAAAGCTGACTGACTGACTCAATAATTAACGTGACGTGTCGGTCCGTTCGTGCCGTCCTGCAGCGTCTTTCTGCAGACAGAGGACGAACATCCCTTCTCTAGCACTACACTCGGCTAATTACGACCGCATAGGTTACATATCTCTCTCTCTACGCATCATGTGTTACTACGGCAAAACCCAGTCAGTCTACCAAGTGATCAAATCAACCACCAAAATCCAGCTGCTACATATGGGCCTTGCTAGCTGTGGCCAGCCTCTCAGTCTGAACTTCGGCTTTTGAGCTTGGTTCCTCTGTTTGGTGGCTTCAATACCTGGGGGCGTTCGTATGATGCAGACACACACACACACACACACACAGAGAGAGAGAGAAGAGAGAGAGAGGACGTCATGTGGCCGGCCGGACGTGTCGAGTGTTGACCGTGTCAGTCAGTGCGACCGACTTGCCTTGTAGATGCGGACGATCCAGTTTTGCGATGTGAAAGCCTCCTCGAGATGTTTGAACGTCACGTCCTTCTTGCCGATCTCGGAGTTTCTGATAGATAGATAGATCCACCGACCGCCCACACACATAACATACAAACGGAACCGTATGGATGGCAATGGGTAGGGGTGGATGTGGTGTGGTGTGTGATAGGCAGGCACCTGGCGTAGTCGAATCCTCTTGAGATTTCGGCGAATCGGTAGTAGCAGCACTTGTACATGAGCGAGTTGATCATCGTCTGAGAGGCGTCCTTGCCAACAGAATACTGCACGGACACACACACACACACACGGGGATGAGATGGTTGCTGCCATGTGGACTTCGTGTCGTGTTTGTGTGGCTGCCTGACTGACCCCTCTGGTGGTTGGGCTCATGAAGTCGGCCTCCTGCACTCGTGGGTAGACACCCGATGCGATTCGGATCATCCACAGGAACTTGTTGATGTCGTCAGACTGGTAACGCGCCACACCACCGAACACAACCTACGTAGACACACAGAGAGAGGGAGGGAGGGAGGGAGAGAGGGAGAGACGCAGGCAATTTCGCTGTAGGCGGGCGGTATGGTGAGCTCACTGACTGACCAGGACGTAATCGACGTCATGTTTGAGCAGGATGGGGTAGGCGTCCTCCTCCTTGGATGCCCACGCCTGAGAGAATTGACACACTCACATGAGCGACGGACGGATGAGCCGTGATGCTGTTTCTTCCCCCCACTGACCAGTCCGACAGTAGCGATGTGCGTGTTGTTCCATGTGTTGTTGTCCACCAGGACTGTGCGGTTGCCCATCGTCGTTATCTGATAGCCGTAGTCCCACCTACCCATCCATCCGTCAGACAAACAGAGCCATCCATCGATGTGTGTGTGTGTGTTTAGGAAGGGGTCGGCTGGTGTGCCTACCATGACATGATTCGCGATCTGGGGTAGGTGTTCTGCCTCAGCCAGTAGTAGGCCTCACGGAAGTCATCCTGGATGTGGCGCGCACCATCGCGGCCGCGGTGAGCTGCCAGACACACCACCCCACCCACACACATACCCTACCCGTCCAGTCAGTCGCTTTGCCTTTCACGTGTGTGTGTGTGTGTGTGTGGATACCCACCGAGCACGATGGAGGGGTGTGAGTAGGCGACAGAGGACGTCCATGTGCAGTGGGCCACATACTGCACGCACACACAAGACAGACACAGAGAGACAGGCGGTTCTTCTTCACACTTCTCTCTGTTTGACTTCATACCTTGACGGTGCAATACAGGAGGAATCCCAGGCCAAGAAGCGCCAGCGTTCGCGACATATTGCCTGTCGGGGCCTCACCAAACGACATAAACGACGACAGCGACGCTCCCGCGCGGCTGCCCTTCTGCACAAACAACCAAAGGTCGGATACTGATTGCATGTGTGCGTGTCTTCGTCCTTGGGCTTTGGTGGATGTCCTACGGCCTTGAGCTTGGCTTTTTGGAGGGCGGTAGGTGACTTGGCGTAGGTGACGAAGGCGCTGAGCAGCCAGGACAAGCCGATGGCGGCCAGCACGGCAGCGGCGGGGGCCAGCACAAGCATCAAGCGGATCATCACACCTACACACACATCCACATCCACATCCACATCCACATCCACGTCCACGCATCCATCCATCAGGCTCTCACTCCCTCCTTTTCGCACGGACACACCCACACATTTGTACCTGAGAAGTAGACGGAGAGAATGCCGTATAGTCCGGCGAACACCATTCCGTCGGTCATGTGCTTGAAGCACACCAACAGGCCGATGGGCGCCAGGAGGATGAGGATGTGAAGGTCCAGGATGTACGCCGACCAGGTCGTGGGCTGGTGCTCTGACACCGATGCTATGATCGGGATGTACCTGCAAAGTGATTGATGGATGCGAACGAAAGGCATCCATCCATCCGTCAACCATGTGTGTCATGTGTCTCTGTGTGTGTGTGTGTGGTGGTAGTACTTTGATGCGTAAGTGGGGTCCAGCAGAGTCATCGATCGCCCCGACCAACGGGACTTCCCCTGAGCGATGGACAAAACACACATTCCACATAGATGCGCCAGTGGCCAGCGGCTTCTCTTGTTCGGCCTACGGTGATGGTGAGGTATGAGAAGAGGAGCAGGAATGCGCCGACGACACCCACGACGAGCACCCTGACCAGGAACTTGATGCCCTCTCGCGGAATGAGATCCCGCAAATACTGACTCGCCATGTACGCCTGATCCATCCATCCATCCATCGATGCATTCACGCATTCACTCATGGAGCGCGTGTGCACGTGTGTGGTGTACCAAGAGCATGAGGAAGACGCCGTGTGACGCCATGTGCTCCGATGAGGTGACGGCCTGGAAGTTGACGAACGGGATGTTCAGACACAGCATCGTCCCAATGATGTACCTATTCGCCCACACACACAGGCAGGGTGCGGTGCATTTGTGTTTGCTTGTGTGTGTGTCTGTGTGTGTTTGTGAGCGTGTGTCATCATATTCAGTCGCCCACTCACTCACCAAGTGCAGAAGACGACAAAGTGTCTGCCTGTCACTCGCCCCAGCAGTGTCATGGCCACCATATAGATGGACACTGTGTTGGTGATGAAGACGTAGCCGCCCCAGGCAGACACCATGTAGAAGTACGCCAGCGCCGCCAGCATGCCCCACAGCATCGTCCCCGTGTGGATGGCCTTGACGAACACGTAGAAGGAGAACACCAGCGCAAAGATGGCCACTCCCTCGTTGTCGTAAGACCCAGCCACCGATCGCGAGAGATATGAAGGCGCGATGCCCAGGAACACCGCGCCGAGCAGCCCAGCCTCAGACCGCCCGGTGACCTCTTTGGTGAAAAGGTATGATGCCATGGCGGCGCATCCCGAGAAGAGGGGAGCGAGGAAGACGCAGACGTCCTTGATGTCGATCATGATGCCGAAGAAGTGGAGGGCGTGGAATATGAGGTAGGATGTGGTCATCAGGCCGGGGTAGAGCGTCTGTCCGATGACGCGGCCGAGCGGGTACCAGGAACCCTCGTCGAACCAGTTCCAGAACTCATAGTAGCCCTCGCGCGAGAGGAAGCGCGTCGTGCGGAAGTTAAAGTAGGGGTCGAACTCGTGAATGACGCTCTCGAAGCGGATCACGGCGAACAGACGGATGAAGAAACTCATCACGCAGATGAGAAACAGAATCGAGTACTCGAGGACGGGAGACCATCGCTTGCCGACCTTATTGATGGTTCTCGTCACCTAAAGGACAAGCAAACGAAACGAGTGAGTGAAGCGCGGGGAAACAAACAAACCGAGAAGCAGACACGACAGGATGTGGCGAAGAGTTGTGTTGAGTGATCTGCTGTGTGTCTGCTTGCCTCATTGTCGAGCAGGAAGTCCACAGGCCCTTCACTGCTTGGCTTCATCTCTGTCTGCAACACCTGCCTGCCACTTGCACAAGGCGTCTCGTTCTCAACCAAAGCGTGATCCTCTCTGCTTCACTGCCAGCCAGGTGACTGCATCCAGAAATCACGGCTGTTTGAGCGCATTCCACCTCAGATCTTTGAGCTCGCACATCGTCTGCGAGCTACGCTTGCCAAGAAATGCGAGATGACGGGCTCATTTGCCATCGGTTCGCTGCCCACGGCCCTTCCCTTGACGGCCTTTCATGCGCCGCCGCTGCTCGTGCCGCCCCGCCGGCCATTTAGATCCCTCACACGCCGGCGGCCTCTCGTCAGCACACACAGGCCACTGCACGCCCTGCACGGTGATGCACCACACGATGGTGACCCTGATGCTGCTGATGCTGACGGCATCGACGAGCGAGGCGGCTTCTATGAGTACGGCGCGCCCGGTAGTCAGCCCCTTTACAACGCCTCTGAGGATCTGCAACGTGACCAGATCATTGACGTGCGGGGCGGCTTTCGTGCCTTTGAGGTGCCAGGCAGTCAGCCCCTCTACATGGCCCCTCATGACCAGCAGCATGAGCAGCGCCGCAACGCTACCGATGATGCAGCCGCCAAGCGGACAAACGACACAGAAGAGGAAGAAGGGCCGCCGGGCATCATCACCAAATTAACCGAGGCTTTGTACGAGAGAGGAGAGATGGAGCGCGGCAAGGAGCCAGCGGAGCTGGTGTATGAGCGAGGAAAGGGACGGCTGCGGGCTGACATCGTGACGCTGCTCGTGGTGGGCTTCTCGCTACAGTGGTTCACGGCGGGTGTCGGCCGGGCAATCAGCTACACGGTCGGAGGCATACTTGGTGAGTGCATCCGTCGCTGGGAGCGAGATGCACGCATGCACAGATCTGCCTCGCTGGTCGTTACATATCTGTCTGTCTGTCTGTTCTCTCTGCGTGTTGTAGGCATGGTGTATGCGCTGATGCCGCGCGCATGGGCCTCGCTGCAGCGGCTCTTCAAGCCGATTTTCAAGCCGTGCGGCTTGCTCTTGAAGGCCGTTTGGTCAGCCGTCGAAATAGTCGACCGCACGGCCAAGATGATATTTGAGGAGCTGCATCTGGGGCTGGTTTATGACCTGGCGCAGCTGTGGTTCCTCTTCCGGTTTCGGCCGAGGATTCCAGAGGATTGGGACACGACCCGGCTGAGGGAGGCAATGCATTTGGCCTTTTTTGCAGTGTACGGCTTCTGCGTCTCCTGCCTCGCCGTCGGTCTCCACTCGATCGTCGATTGCATCATCCTGCTTACCCTTAGGGTAAGAAGGGGACTCTCTAAGTTTAGTGGGCGACTGCCCGCGTATGTGATGTCATCGGTCGTGTACACTGCATTGTACCTGAAGACGCCTCTTTCAGCGGAGGAGAGCGTTATACGAAAGATAGCCAGAGCCCTCAAGAAGTGCTGGTCCCTCGTGGTTACACGTGCAGTCCGGGTGTGCTATGTGTGTCTGTTGTATCTGTACGAGGGCCGGGGACCCTACCCTCCTGTCGACGAGGGCAAGGAGCAGATAGGGCGGGCCACAGAAGACAAAAGCCAGAGGCAGTGAGTGTTTATCGTCCTGCGTTGCATGATTTCTTTACATGAGTTTTTCTTGCTCCGTGTGGACTGGACACGAACAGGTTCGTGGAGACAGAGGGATGGGATGAATCATCAATTAATTGTATTCGAGCGCGTCAGTCGCGTGATTCCAGCTCTCTCATATGAGTCTGTCTCGTATCGCACGGGCACATGCACGCAAAAGAAAAAAGAACGGTCATCCGTCTGCTGACAGACATGGCGTGGCGGCAAAGCACCACGTGATCGTAGTGGCTCTTTAAAGCTTGTTGTCTTTTCGGCTGCTTTTCCTCTTGCTCTTCTTGTTTGGGGTCACGGGCTGTCCTGCGGCCTGTCTCAGACTGGACTTGAGCTTGGCGCGCATCTCGTCCTGACGTGCCTGAGACGACATGAGAAAGCAGCCTGTGAACGAGGCCCCAGGGGTGCGTTCATGTACCTTGATCTCCTCTCGGGCGGCCTCGGTCTCGTGCTGGCACTGTTGGCCTTGGCTTTGCTCCAAAGCCATGTACTCCGGCAGCATCTTGTGCAGTGAGTCAACGCCGCAAACGGGGTCCAGCTGCTGGGTCATGCAGCAGGCCTCTCGCAGATGGGCGTCCCAGCAGGTGGGCAGCTTCCAGAGCGGATACCGAGTGCCGTCCTCGTATTTGAAGGGGACGCCGAGGTCTGGGATCACCGGCTTGGTGAACCGCACCTTGAAGCGTCGCTCGATGGGATGGCTCGTGTTGGCTCCGGCTGCCCCGATAGAGATAGTGTATGAGGATTCTCCCGTCGTTTCGTCGCGGCCTGTCCGCTCAAAGCGAATCTCAGCCTGCTCCGCTGCTTTCATGCCTGTTTGTCAAGCATTGTGCATGAGGAACTCTGTTTGCATGCGCATCAAAAGTGCAACTCATGTCTCTGTCGGTCTTTGCTCACCGTAGCAGCAGAGGGATTTAGGCAGCTCTCCGAGATAGTGGAATCTGTCTAGGACAGAGTGGTGGAGTACTGGGGAGGTGTGCTGCTTGGCCGCACAGTCGAAGAGTCTGCAGCCGCGAACAATCACACACAAGCCACCTGGTGTGCATGTCTCCTCTCATTTCACGGCACAAATCCCCTACCCTCGAGGCCGGGTCACGGCAGCCATCCTGCGATGAGCAAAGAGGAGGCAGGAGCGCCGTGCAGTCAGAAAAATGGCTTTGTATGGCTCTCACCTAGCCGCCCCATTGCCAATGAGCGGAATGGAGGCCAGTTTCTTGAGCTGGCTGATTTGACCCTCCCAGCCCGCTGTGGCCGTCTGGTCGTGCACGTCGCCAGTCAGGTCGTACACATAGTTGCGAACACTAGAGCCGTAGTAAGAGGTCGACGAGACGCGCTGCGTGACGGCAGAGGAGGGCCAGGAGCTTTTCAGCAAGGCCCCGTGCGCCTCCATGTGCTTCAGCATGAACCTGACACACAAGCGCAAGGTGAGGGCATTGGGTGGGTGTACGGCGTGTCCTCCGTATAGGTATCGTGACGCACTGACATGAGGGGTATGTGAGACAGCCGGTGGCCGCCTTTCTGCCCGGTGAGCTTTCCATCCTCGTGCTCGTACATCCACCCACCTCCTGCGTCGGAATGATCGCCTGAACGCCCATCCACACAATGCATCCATACACAAACACATCCGACCCACAAAAGCCGGGGCGAAATGTATTTCCCTACCTGCAAACCAGACATTCTGAAACTGTGCAGGTCCCCGGGCGAAACGGCAGACGTCTTCAGGGGTGTTGAGTGTTGGGTAGGGGAGGCACTCCCAAGTCCCTCTCATCTCATCTGACAGATGGTCAATTCCATAACTTCTGGCCCCTCACCTCTTCCCCTTGTTCACCAGTCGCCAGAACATGGACCGCTTCGCGAGGGAGGGGCTCCATATCGACAACTAGCTCTGATGAGGGGGAGACACGCACCGGAGTATCGGCACCAACTCCCAGCTACCTCTGCATACTTTCGATGTTGAAGAAAAGGCTCAGTGTGTCGGCCACACCATCAAAGATGCCAAGAAAGTGGGTCTGAATGCTCCTGTGCTTGCGCTCATTGGCGAAGAGTGTGCGGCTGCCATCAAGGGTGACGTACGCGTCCTTTTAAAGCAGGCAGAACTCGTTTCGGAGCCGTCTCATGTCACTCCCGTCAGCCGGCAGACCATACGTCGCCAGAATGCCTATACGGATAAGACCATATACGCTGGTATGAGTGCACCTCTCTTTAGCCCACCTTGCAGCAGCCGCGACTGCACGCCACTGCGGGAGAAGCCAATGATGTAGAGGCGGTCGTTTGCAGTCATGCCGTGCTTCATGAGATACTCCAGCGCTTGAAAGACATGTTCAGTGACCTGCATGGCATCAAACACCAGACGTGTGTCTCCGTTCCTCTGTCCTTCCTTACGCGAAGCCCGGTCATGAAAGACAGAGTGTCGGTGTACTCAGCAAGCTTCTCAGCCACCGGTTTCACCAGCTTGTCGGACATCGCCTTCCAATAGTTCTCTTCCAGCACCTCGGTGATGCATTTGCCTTGTTCGTGCTGCTCTCTGTACGCCGTCTTCGCCTCCGTGCCAGGCCCCGACCAGTACCTGACGTACTGCTCACGCCCGTCTGGCCCCTTCTGGTGACATTCCCTCTCGTCGGCTGAAGCTCCACAGGCCGCCCAGAAGATCTCTGCTACACTCGTGAAGGGCCAGACGTCCCGAAACCCTTCGGTTGTGATGTTCTTGTCCTGGCCGGCGCCATCAAAAAGGACGATGAAGTTTCGGGGTCTTTCGGGCTGCCCCAGCGCATCCTGGGCGACCTCTGCACAGAAAAGAGGGTGGTGCTGCTGATGCTGACATGCACCAAGTCCTCTCACTCCTCTCACCACGTGCCATGGAGCAGGAGCACGTGAGAACCAGTAAAAGCATTGCAAGGGCGCTCACAGGGGCCATGATGGTCAGAGGGTGGGTATTATCTCGGTGTGTGCCTGGGGGCTTCCGAGTGGGGGGGCTCTGAGACCGAGTCTCAGACTGAGTCTCGCCAAAAGCATCCGGCAGTAAGTGCAGATGGTGCCTGCGGCAGCTCTTTTCGACATTCCGCTGCTACTGATGGTGTGCGTACTATGCCTTCTTTCCGGTACTGAGAGCCGCGAGGTGCAAACGCTGACCAGCTGCAGTGAGCTGCAGGAATGGGCCAGCGGTAACAGCAGCAGACCACGGACACTGTACGACGTCCTCGGTGTGACGACCAACGCCACACAAGAGGACATCAAGAAGGCATACAGGCAAAAGGTATACACACAAGGGGCCCGGCCGATTGTCCGCCCGAAGATGTACATGCGTGACGGTGTGGCGCCTGCAGGCACTTGTGTGTCACCCCGACAAGAACCCGTTGGCTAACAGGACTGCTGCAGAAGAGACCTTCCTGTGGATATTGACGGCCTACGACATCCTCTCCGACGACGCCAAGAGAGCAAAATACGACCAAGAGTGGCTGCAAGACCGACAGGGGGCGGTTGACGGTGGTGGAGTGGGTGGCGACTACTATGGTGATGAGTGGGAGGTGTGGGCGGTGGAGGTGACCGATGTCTATGTGGTGGCCGACACGAACGAGGCGATGCAAATGGACGAGGCACTGGCACTCTTTGCGGCCATATTCGGACAGGGGTAGACTAGAAGGGAATGTGGACCGGGGAAATTGCCATTGGGGTCCCTGCTCTGTCTCTGTACGTGTACCTACTTCAGGTTGGCGCACATGTTTGGCAATGGTCTGTCAGTCGATGAATACATTTCGATTGACATCATCGAATACGACGACACACTTGCGGTACCGCAAAACACCAGCCAACAGTCCGTTGTTTCTCCCTCCTCGGACCCTGTCGGCCTCCACTCGGTACTGCAGCGGCTCATCAGCGACTTCGGCAGCAGCAGCAGCAGCAGTGTCGGATTCCTTTCCCCTCGCCAGCTGCCCTCACCACCACCACCAGACCACAGACAGTCCGAACCGCTCTCTCCGACTGGGGGGGATGTCCTGTCGACCATGACATCCACCCGGCTCATCAACGGCCACAACATCACAGAGACCCGGGAGATGCTGAAGGACGGCACGCGTCGAGTCCGGCAGGAGCAGGCCAAGGCTTATGTGGACGGCCTTGGCAGCGTGGTGAACGTGTATGAGGTTGGAGGCGGTAAGAGTGAAGGCCGAGAGACTCTCACACTGCTCGAGGTGTATCCCAATGGGACGGAAGCTGTCAGGGAGGTGTACGATATGGGAGCCGTGAGAAGTGCATGACTTGATTGAGGAGACACATGTGTGTGTGCGGGTGCACACTTGCGGTTGTTCATGCGTCTCGTCTGTTGGTCAGTTGGTCATGCGTCTGCAGATTGGTCCATGATACATACATCAATGGAACACGTGTTTATGCGATGCACTCACTGTCATCCATTCATGCGCTGACTGCGCCCCGCAGGAAGGCGAGACGGGCGGCGAGGGCTGCAGAGAGGGCATACCACAGACCCATGAGAGCGGAGCAGCAGATTGTGCGTATGGTGTTGGATTGGAGGCTGTGAGTGCCGCCGACATATCTGCTGCCTTGGCGAGCACCCGGCCGGCCTCACACATTCCCTTCGTCAAGTACCAACAGGTGAGGTGACGACTCACACATGAATGCATAGACGAAGCGAGGTAATGCGGGTGTGTCTCGTGTGTGTGTGTGTGTGTGTGTGTTCCCTTCAGTGGCATGAGAAGCACGGTCGTGAATGCTTTAATTATGACGTTTGGTATATCGTGGAAAGACATCTTTATTATGCGATACACGGTCGTCCATCCCTTCGATCATGCATGTAGTCGTGTCCACGTGTGTATGCGTCAATGCAGTACGAGGATAACATCAACCAATTAGGTCTGTCTGCCTCACCTCACGAAACACATACCCTCACGTGAAGGCAAGGCACGCACACGAGGGTCTGTCTGTCTGTCTGATCTGATCGGTCTGTGTGTCGACTTGACTGACGTGCCTCACTCACTGATCATCACAGCACCTGAAAGGTACACCTACACGACACACAACACACAACACAAGAGGAGGTGCATCTGGTGTGGGTCTGTGTCTCTGTGGCTGACCTGTGCAGTTCGACTTTGGACATCACTTTGCTGTCGTCGTATGTGATGTCGTGCAGCTTCGACAGGGGGTCATACGCAACCACACGTGCACTGTGCCACACACCTGCACAACACAACACACAACACACAGAGATGGGTCTTATCTCCCGTCATGTTGGCCCCTTCCTGCTGCATCGATCCCCTACCGTCCTTCCACTTGCAGGTGATTTTCTGGTTGACGTACGCCTGGGGGTTGGCCAGCACACAGGCACGCTGAGTCATACGCGACGGACGACTGACATCAACACAACACAATTCACACATCAATACACACAGACACACAGAGATCTCTTGTGTCCCCCTGTGGCTCACTTGGGCTGCTCCTGCTGTTTGTGCTGTTTGCTGTCCTCTCTGTCCTTCTTCTTGTGGTCATTCTTGTTGATGGGTGGCCGTGGCTGCGATGGCTTCTTGCTCTGTCTCTGCACAGCAGCATCGGCATCG